CATCAGAAATGGAACTCTTCTCACAGAGCCAAGCTGGACACTAGCAGAGGCCCTTGGAAATCTACAAAGACAGTTACATTCCTGCTGAGCCAGGTAGGACAAGAGAAAGAAGAAGGAAAAGGAAGAGGAGAGGAAGTGGGATGGGGCCTGCAACCCTGGGGGGACATGAAAAGGAGGAGCGGTCTCCACATCCGGGGAAGGCCCTCGTCGGGGAGCTCAGTTTGGACAGAAGAAGAGCCTCATTCTCTGTGGGAGAGAACATGGCAACCAGCATGTGGTAGCAAGACAGGGTGAGACCTGCACATGGGGTCCTGTCCCCTGCCCTGCCCACTCAGCCTGAGAGGCACGCCCACCGCTACAGACAAGGGCTGGGTGCTGAAATGTGGGGTTCGGAGCGCAGACCCAGGCAGAGGACTGCGGTTGGCACTGAGGAGACATCCTGAGGGGACGGGAGTGAGGGAGAGGCTCTGTAAACAGGATGCTTGTGGAGGAAGCCTGAACCAGCACAGAGCAGAGCACAAACGTCTGGACCAATCTCAAGCACCAAGGTGCAGGCACCAGTAGGATGACTGACTAGGTGCCTGTAGCCTTCAAAACAGAGACTACAAGCAGAAAACTGGACAAAATGAGATGGCAAAGGAATGTGTGACAGAGGGAGAAGCAGGCTAAGAACCGACAGGAACCACTAGATGAAGAGGAGATAGGGAATCGAAGGATTATTTCTTGCTTTTAGTCATCTTAAGTGGAGACACCAAACATTTTCACAAATCCTAGCTGCCTAATAATTGTTTCATCCACTTCTTGTCAAACATGTTTCTGAGAATGTTCTATTAGATACTTCAACCTAAAACTAATAAATGATATTGACAGAGAACTAATCATAAAGTGAAGACATATAGGAAAATATCTGAGATAGCTCATACACATAAGATGAACTTATTAATTTCTCAAGAAATTAAATGAAAGAGAGACTTTGAAAATGTCCTTGAAACACTGGAAATTCTACTCATTGTTTTGTGGAGACCTAAATGTGAAGGAAATCAATAGAATGGGAAAGACTCGAGATCTCTTCAAGAAAATTAAAGATACCAGGGGAACATTTCATGCAAAGATGGGCACAATAAAGGACAGAAATGGCATGGGCTTAAAAGAAGCAGAAAATCTTAACAAAAGCTGTCTGGAATATGTGGAAGAGCTATAAAAAAAATCTTAATGACCATGATAGCCAGGATAGTGTGACCACTCACCTAGACACAGACATCCTGGAGTCTGAAATCAAGTGGGTCTAAAGAAGCATCACTACCAACAGAGCTAGTGGAGATGATAGAATTCCACCTGAGGTATCTCAAATCTAAAAGATGATGCTATGAAAGTGCTGCACTCAATATGCCAGCAAATTTGGAAAACTTAGTAGTGGCCACAGGACTGGGGAACATCAGTTTTCATTCTAATCTCAAAGAAAGGCAATTGAAAGAAATGTTAAATTGACCACACAGTTGCACTAATTTCACACACTAACAAAGGCACGCTCAAAATTCTCCAAGTAAGACTTTAACAGAATGTGAACTGAGAAATGCCAGATGTTCAAGCTGTATTTAGGAAAGGTAGAGGAACCGGTGATCAAATTGCCAACACCCCTTAGATCATCGAGAAAGCAAGAGAGTTCCAGGAAAACATCTGCTTTGGTTTTATTGACTATGCCAATTCCTTTTGCTCTGTGGATCACAACAAACTGGAAAATTCTGAAAGAGATGGCGATACAAGACCATCTTACCTGCCTCTTGACAAATCAGTATGCAGGTCAAGAAACGACAGTGAGAACCAGACATGGAACAATGGACTGGTTCCAAAATGAGAAAGGAGTATGTCACGACTGTATATTGTCACTCTGCTTATTTAACTTATATGCAGAGTACATGATGCATGAGCCCTTGGTGATCCCTGGGTTGGGAAGATTCCCTGGAGAAGGGAAAGGCTACCCACTCCATGATTCCGGCCTAGAGAATTCCATGGACGGCATAGTCTGTGGGGTCGCAAAGAGTCGGACATGACTGAGCACCGTTCCTTTCACTTTTCATCATGCCAAATGGTGGACTGGAAGAAGCACAAGCTGGAATCATGATACAGGGAAAATATCAACAACATCAAATATACAGATGACACCATGCTCATGGCAGAAAGCAATGAGAACCTGAGGAGTCTCCTAATGAAACTGAAAGAGGAGAGTGAAAATCTGCCTTCAAACTCAACATTCAAAAAACCAAGATCATGGCATCCAGTCCCATCACTTCATGGAAAATACTTGGGGAAACAGTGGAAACACTGACAGACTTTATTTTTCGGGGCTCCAAAATAACTGCAGATGCTGACTTCAGCCATGAAATTAAAAGATACTTGCTCCTTGTGTGAGAGCCATTTCCTAGGTAGGTTGATAAGAAATCTAGGGGTCCCCAAGGAGAGAGAGGCCTGGAATACTCAAGGAGGAAGAAAGGACAAATTTTCACTTTTTTCCCTCTACATTCCTTAGGATTATATAACAATAATGTATCCTGCCTGAGGACAGTCTCTGGATTAAACCTGGCTAATCCTGTTTTCTTACAATGTAAATAATGGGAGTAGGTCTAGTCTTTACAAGGATTATATAACAACGTATCCTGCCTGAGGACAGTCTCCGCATTAAACCTGTGGCTGATTCTGATATCTTAAAATGTAAATATGGGACTAGGTTTGATGAGGCCTTTACAAGCTGCAGACATTCTGTGGACTCATTGGAGAGTATATAACTCCATTGCTAACAATACCAAGCGGGCACTCTTTCTTCCCCCCTCTGATGTCTATGTCAGAAGCTATCTATATCTCCTTTAAACTGTAATAAAATTTTATTACACAAAAGCTCTGAACGATCAAGCCTCCTCTCTGACCCCGGATTGAATTTTTCTCCTCCGGAGGCCAAGAACCCCAGAGTCTTTGCATGATTCAGCAACAACTTTTCACTTGGGAGGGAAACTATGAGAAACCTAGACAGCATATTAAAAAGCAGAGATGTTACATTGCTGAAAACTGTCTGTCTAGTCAAAGCTATGGTTTTTCCACTAGTCATGTATGGATGTGAGAGTTGGACCATAAAGAGAGCTGAGTCCGGAAAACCTGATGCTTTTGAACTGAGATATTGGAAAAGAGTCTGAGTCCCTTGGACTGCAAGGAGATCACATCACTATTTCCCAAAGGAAATCAGTCCTGAAAATTCATTGGAAGGACTGATGCTGGAGCTGAGGCTCCAATAATTTGGCCACATCGAGCAAAGAACTGACTCACCAGAAAAGACCCTGATGCTGGGGGGGATTGAGGGCAGGAGAAGACGGGGACAACACAGGATGAGATTGTTGTATGCATCACCTACTTGATGGACATGAGTTTGACCAGGTTCCAGGTGTTGGTGATGGAAAGAGAAGCCTGGTGTGCTGCAGTCAATAGGTTTGCAAAAACTGGGACACGACTGAGAGACTGAATGAACTGACTGATAGATATAATTGATTCTTTTCGGTGTACAGTAGTACAGAATTATAAAGCAGCTATATTCCAATTAGAACTTTTTAAGATTTCTGTATATAATCTAGACATTCTTATAGTTTGAATCAACAATTAATAATATGGGTTGAAAATGTGTAGTTTTTTTTTTTTTGGTGGTAAGATTTTATGCCAATTTATTTTAAAATTCTATGAGGTAAATAAGCATATGAAAGTTATTTAAAAAATAAAAATAACGTGGTTTAGCATTTTAGAATCAGGCCTGATACACTTCAGATATTTAATATGAAGTCATAAAGGGAAAAGAGAAACCTTGAAGTAAACCTGAGATGTGCATTCTTTGATTTTTAGAAGGTTTTGCTTTCTGCAGCGAAAAAATTACTTGAATTTGAAATTTATTTAGAAGGTCCTATCTCTAGCTCCCAGTGGATAGGAAGTTATAAATCAGAAAAACAAAAACCTCTCCCCAGTATTCCTAGAAGTTTAGCACTTTCTCTACCACTTTAGCACACATTTTTCCCTAGAGGTAGAAAGAAACTTTAAAAGGACTGTCATACAGCTACTCATAAATGGCACAATTTTCCTAGGATCCCCAAGAAATGAAAGAGCAACCAATGAATGCAGTTTGTGACAAGCTAAGAGAAGACTTTTAGTTTACACTGTGATGGAGAAAAGTAATCACCGGAGATGAATCCATGCATGATTTAAGAGAGAGAATGGGGCAGGTGATACATTTCTTTGACAGTAGCAGAAATAAACCCAGGTTTTCCAAAACCATTTCCACTTAGGCACATCTTCCAAAACCACGTGACAAAGGATGACTTCCTCTCTGTTCCTTAGACCTCTCATCTGAGTCCACTCACACCTACCTGGGTGTATGTCTCTTGTCTCCATTCTCCTTATACTCCTGGGGTCGTTCAATTCCTCCAGAAAGGTGTCCAGGTCCGTCTTAGAGGCCACAAGACCTGTTCATCAGAGAAAGGAATATTTGTGTTCTTAGAGATTCATCTGTGTCCAATCTTGTATGTATTCAAGCAAGACGGGAATGCATTGGAGAATGTTGATAAAGCCTAGAAAGTGATTTCCCCAAATACTTTATTCAAAACACCTCTACAACACTAACAAATACTTAACAATCAAATCCTGAGATTTTGGTCACGTGCTCCTAAGGCAAAAAGTAAGGGTATGAATGTGAAATTAACAGAGGGTGCAACTATTTATTACCGCAAAACTTACACAATTACCACTCACCTAGAACAAAGAAGGCAGAGTACATCAGGGAAGAAAAAGCTTACCAGCATAGCAAACCATCATGAAGCCTGCCTTTCTAAACTCACAGACACTCATTTCCCCATAGAGAGCAGAGATCTGAAACCACTGTGGGAAGCAGACAATTTCAGAAGCCATTCTAGAAATGAAGGAACCAAAACCTTGCGAGTAGGTAAGCGATTCTGGAAGGAAGTTGTCCTCACCCAAGGAGGCCAGGTTCCTGTAGTTCTCTAACATCACCTCCCTGGACAAGTCCCGCTGACTGAGGCCCAGGCATTCCCACTCCTCTTGAGTGAAGTCCATGGCCATATCCCAGAAGGTCAGCCGTCCCTGAAATACAAAGTACAGATGCCATGGGGCCGTGGGAAGACTTCCTTATGTGACCCAAGTTGGAAACAGCAAGTTCAGAGACCTGGTTTCCTTTTAGGAGAGTGCCTGCTATTACACAAGAAAATAATTTTTACACAGTAATATTTTCACCATATTTTTAACCCCTTGGAAAGAGGATGAGATATGAACCACAAAATACTACAGAAATTAGTATGACTAGGAAGAGGAAATATAAAATAAATATTGGCATACTTATTTTTGACTGTTGTACTCATGTGACACAGGATAAACTGTCTATCAAAAAAAAAAAAAACTGGAAATATTTTTTAAAAACACATTCCAATCCAAACATTCTATAGTGGGACAAATGTGCCACATTTTTAACAAGGTTACTTGAGCTAGTAATGTTTAAAATTCTGTTCCATAAATAACCAATTTGAAGAGTTATTAGGTAGAATATTAAGGAAAGAATTCATACTTAACTTTGATCTTTAAGTTTTATACAGATTTTACAGGTCTCAGAGAAGAATCACTTAACTATTTAGCACCAACTATATATGCAGGTCAGGAAACAACAGTTAGAACTGGGCATGGAACAACAGACTGGTTCCAAATAGAAAAAAGAAGTACGTCAAGGCTGTATATTGTCATACTGCTTATTTAACTTATATGCAGAGTACATCATGAGAAAGACCTGGCTGGAAGGAGGACAAGCTGAAATCAAGACTGCCAGGGGAAATATCAATAACCTCAGATATTCAGATGACACTAGCCTTATGGCAGAAAGTGAAGAGGAACTTAAAAGCCTCTTGATGAAAGTGAAAGAAGAGAGTGAAAAAGTGGGCTTAAAGCTCAACATTCAGAAAACTAAGATAATGCCCACTGCTAACATCACTTCATGGGAAATAGATGGGGAAACACTGGAAACAGTGTCAGACTTTAATTTTGGGAGCTCCAAAATCACTGAAGATGGTGATTGCAGTCATGAAATTAAAAGACGCTTACTCTTTGGAAGGAAAGTTATGACCAACCTAGATAGCATATTAAAAAGCAGAGACATTACGTTGTCAACAAATGTCCATCTAGTCAAGGCTATGGTTTTTCCAGTGGTCATGTATCGATGTGAGAGTTGGGCTGTGAAGAAAGCTGAGCACCGAAGCATTGATGCTTTTGAACTGAGGTGTTGGAGAAGACTCTTGAGTCCCTTGGACTGCAAGGAGACCCAGTCAGTCCATCCTAAGGGAGATCAGTCCTGGGTGTTCATTGGAAGGACTGATGCTGTAGCTGAATCTCCAATAGTTTGGCCACCTCATTCGAAGAGTTTACTCATTGGAAAAGACCCTGATACTAGGAGGTGTTGGGGGCAGGAAGAGAAGGGGACGACAGAGGATGAGATGGCTAGATGGTATCATGGACTCCCGATGGACTTGAGTTTGAATAAACTCTGGGAGTTGGTGATGAACAAGGAGGCCTGGCGTACTGCGATTCAAGGGGTCGCAAAGAGTCAGACTCTACTGAGAGACTGAACTGAACTATATTTCTGACAGTTTTTCAGAATCTTCAATGTGCAACAGAAATAATTTAAAATCAATAATGCTGCTCTTGCATCCTTTAGAAGATATTTTAACAAACATTTTTTTAAAATGGCAGAGCTGAAATTTTACATCAGTTTATGGACTCTAGGCAGTAATAAAACACAGACAAATATACAGAGACAACTCTGCTGAAAGTTTACAGAAAATTCTGTATTCCTAAATACTACTAAGAGCAAGAAACGTGTTAGTCACTCTTGTCCTATTCTTTGCAGGCTTGAGGGACTGTAGCCAGCTAGGCTCCTCACTCCACGGGATTCTCCAGGCAAGAATACTGGAATGGGTAGCTATTCCCTTCTCCAGGGACCCTTTTTGAAGAAAGAAAAATACTTTCATAGCATGGGAATCACACAGAAGCACAGGAGCCAATGATCATCTGAGGTCATGGTGTAAGAAGTACATGGAAAAATGTATTATCACTGCCAGGTATTTCGGCAACATTTTGAAAACCATTATCTCAATCTACTATGAAAAACAGTAATTTTATGCCATTGCACTGCATATATTCCTCCCATGATCTGTAACCAAATAATATTTATCCAGGTTACTCCTCGCCTAAGAGAACACATACACTAATCACCCCTTCCTCCAGGCAGGCCATAAATTTCTCTCTACCTGTCAAATGTAAACTCGTGCTTATTGATTATTGGTGAATTGTTTCACTGTCTGAGCACATGGCACATGAGTGATGGGGTTCTTGGGATTGTATTTACCCTTCCTTAGTTTATGTAAGTCTGAAGGAATTTGGGGCGGTGGGTTTGGACACGTGCAGATGGGGTATAAAAGATTTTCACAAATGCTGGTCGGGGTCCTTGGCTAAGAGGAGACTCTGCCTTGGGCCCGCCTGTGTAATAAACTGCACTCCAGTATCTGCATTGTCCTTCTGAGTAAGTTTGTTTCCTGGAACGCGTGGCTAAAACATTTCCATCAGGAATCTCAGATACCAGTGACCCCCCCCGTGTTCATTTCCCACAAAGGGAGGTCACTAATTCTTCTTGAGAATTCATCATGGTCTACAGAAAGGCAGGATAGAGTGAAGAAAAGGCTGTGGGACACAAGGGAGAAGCAGCCTAAAAGCCGGTCTTCACCATTATAAGAAATAAAGGAAAAAAGAAGTTGACAACAACAAACCCCCAGGGAGAAAAATTAGAATCAGACAGTAAAGGTGTGCAGCTTCTCACTCCGGCCGTTTCAGGAGGAAAAGCAGACACAGGCCCCGACCTGGGACAGGATGTTTACCTGAGAAGCTGCCATTTCCTCCTCTTGTGCCTCCTGCTCTGAGTCTTCTTTGGGGATATTATGTGCCAAACTCACAAACATGCTAAGAAAATATCTTTAAAGGCCTCCACACAGATCTTTCACCTTCAACAGCTGCAGTGAAAAAGAAAACAACGATTTCCTTCTCTCTCCCTTTTCTGAGCTCTTTTCTGGCTTCCTCTGTCCCTCAGCTGTAGTGGGTAATCAAGATTAAGCTTATATGCTAATCACATCCTGGGTTTGGTGCTCACTTTCCCCACTCTCTTTGCAGACCACCCCGAGAGTTCTCTTTCCTTTTGCATTAGAGACTACGCACCAGAACAATCCACAAGAGACAAGGGACCCAACTTCTGGGCTACCTGACTCTGCCTCTGAGGGTCTTTGAAACAATGCAGCAGGAAGACCCGCTTCCAGGAGCCCTGAGCTTGAGCCCTCAGCTCTGCCTGCCCCAGAGCTCTGGAGAGAGTTGAGGGCGGGATCTTCTAGAAACAAAGAACCTCCACCTGATTTTCATGGGTGTGGCCCTGCAAGGCCTGCGCCTGTGCCCTTGGGGGAGGGGAAGGGAGGGGTGAGTGTTTGGTGGAAATCACCTGGGGGCCCTGGGTTCCTGCAAGGATTTGCTCTCAGAATTCTAGGAAAGATGGCCTGGGTCCTTAGCTTTGGTTTGTTTCTTACTCCCCTCTGTAACCTGGGGACAGAGGTTTTCACGAAATGATTTGCACTGTGACCGCGTCTCTGCAGGTGGGGGTTCTGCTACTTCAAGACCAGGAGCCTGGAGGTGTTTCCATCACAGCTTTCTTTGAGAATAAACCAGGGGCAGCAGTGGACGTTGGGTTAACAGTGTGTATGTGCAGGGACAGATGCATTTGAAAATGATGCCCTAAAATCTATCCAGTGACCAACCAAGGATATATTGATCAGCGTTAAGTCAGAAGTGAACTTACCCATAAATTAACACATGAAACAGATTCTCTGGTGGCTCAGACAGGAGAGTCTGCCTCTATGTGGGAGACCCCAGTTTGATCCATGGGTCAGAAAGATCCCCTGGAGAAGAAAATGGCAACCCTCTCCAAGATTCTCGCCTGGAAAATACTATGGACAGAGGAGCCTGGCGGGCTACAGTCCATGGGGTTGCAAGGAATCAAACATGGACTGAGCGACTTCACCTTCACTTTCAACAGGGAAAAATGTTGCTTCTCTACTTCATGTTTGTATTTCTAGGCTTTACGAATCATCTGCTACAGTTTGTTCTGTGCTCTTTATGGAAAGTTCTATTTTTCATATCTTTAAAGGATAATTGACTAAGGAAAAATTAAAGATAGCATATCCGTTTTTCTAGTGGTATATATTCTAAAAAACAATCACTGTGCATGCACCCGTACCACTATCTTAGATGATTTAGTTTCACTGCAGAATTGAGAGTCAGGTACAGAGCTTTCCCATATACCTTTTGTTCCCTCCCGAGGACAATCTCCCTACTTATGTCCCCAGCAGTGTGTAAATTTGTTACCACTGATGAATATACATAGACATTAAACAAAGTTTCCAGTTTTACCCTATGTTTCTCTTCTAGGGGTGTTCACTCTAAGGATCTGGGCAAATGTATAATAACTTGTGCCATTAAAACAGTTTCACACAATGATTTCGTGGTCCTGAACTCAGGATATTCATAGCCCCTCCTTTGCAGCCCATTGCAAGCACTGACCATTTTAATCTCGTCTACATTTCCGACTAGATTCTCAGGTGACTCCGTGGTAAAGAATCCACCTGCCAATGCAGGTGACCCGAGTGATGTGAGTTCAATCCTTGAGTAAGGAAGATACTTTGAAAGAAGAAATGGCCACCCACTCCAGTGTTCTTTCCTGGGAAATCTCAGGGACACAGGTACCTGGCAGGTACAATCCATTGAGTCCCAAAGACTCAGAGACAATGCAGCACAAAAGAACATTCACCTACATCAAAATGCCATGTTGTAAAAATCTTCCTTTTTGTAGCATTTTCAGATGGGCTTCTTTCACTTAGTAAAATGCATGCAATGATCGTCCATGTATTTTATAC